CGACTAAGGTGGCGTGGGGGTGGTTGGTAGTCTGGTTGCTCATATTCGATGCGCATAAAAATAATGCACGGATTTATTTTGGGAATGGGTAGGAAGAAGTGAGTGTTACAGCTCATGAATAAGACCACAAAAACACAAGCTGGATTAATCGACAGGGGAGAAGAGGATAGGGTGAGGGGCGGAAGGGGAGTAATTGCAGGTTCAAAACATTTTCGCTTCCGGATTTAGCACAATTTTGTTTCTAGGACTCCAGTCGAAGGGAAGGGGTGAGTGATGATGCGCCGATACATCAATCAAAGCCAACGGGAGACCGAAAGAGAAAACCTGGATAGCCGCGCACAGCTCAAGCTGCAAATGGAGGGGTGGGGATCTTCACAGAAAGGGTAATGGACGCAATCGGATTGTTTTGTCCGCGGATAGAAAAAAAGAAGACCGATACGGTACCTGTGTGTATGTTAATGCAGAATAGAGAAAGAAAAGACATTAAGACAGGAAATGATCTACAGGACCCTGTGTTGAATGCGAGTGTGTCAAAAAAACCGAGGATGCGATCGAGGAAAATCAATTAATGATAAAAAGAAGATAGAGGGGAGGAGAGTATAATCCTGTGTTGAGTTTAAGGCTGGCATCGAATGCATTTGTCCCGTCCAGAGTGGACTAATTGGAGTGAAATGTATGTAGTTTATTGTGAGAAAACGAGGACTGTGATTCCAAAAGCGATAGTCCTGTATGATTGAGATGCCTTACCCAGAATTGCGGCCACATATACCTGCCGTTTTTGTTGTTCGGGCAGGTGGGAAAGTCGGATGACGCAATAAGCAACACGCTTTTTTCCGATCGCCCCAACGAACGAAGGAAAATAAGTAAGTAGAGAGAAATGTGTGAGGGCGGCGAGTAAGGAGTGCAAGGGAGAGAGAAGTAGAGAGGAGATAATGCGCGCGTGAGGATGACAGGATGTATCGGACGGGAGATGAAAAGAGGTGTTGCTAATGCAAGCATTATTAGTTGCGGTAGTAATTAGTGTCACGCCAAGTTGTGCGCGTGAACAAGTACGCGTATAATTTCGTATGTATCACTGAACTGTACAAGTTGTGTACAATAATGACTAGGGTTGGGCTATTCTTCTTCCTCTTGTGTTTGAATTTTGTACAAATGAGCAGAATTTAGTATGGAATCAAATGATTCGTGGTGAATCGCGCCCACCCACGCACACACACACACACACAGATACAAACGAAGTAGACCGGAAAGCTGAACAGTAAATTCCGAATGAAGTACGAGCAAGTATGCTATGTGTGTGACAAACAAAGAGGTAAAGGACTCGTCATTGCGTGATGAGAGGGGGGAGGAAGAGATAAAACTGGATCAAGGATAGAATGTGAAAGAAGAATCATCACATATTTAAAACAGTTGTGTGACCAGGGTGATACGGAAGGGGCAATAAAGGGAGAAGATACGGGAAATTCGAACCAGTATTATGAGAACTGAAGCAAGTCGCGTCCTGCGTGTGTCTGGATTCCAGAAAAGACAATTGACTGTTGTTCTCTTACATACGCATAAGCAAAGCACAAGTAAAACGGTAATGGTTATGGACAGGATCGGGACCGGGGTTCGTGGAGCGAGATAGTATCCGTCACTTCAACAGTGTGATAACAATGTAAATGAGAAAGAGAATGTGTATATGAATGCGAACTCCTTCTACTTTCTGGCCCGTCGGATGTAACTGGAATTGAAATAGAGATAGATAGATAATGACTAAACTTGGATAACCGGCTTCAGTTGACGTGTGTGTGTGTGTATGCGTGACCAGGGATATCGAATAGCTTGGAGAAATAGACCGAGGCTGAGAAAACAACAATCGAGAAAAACTTTTCAATAAAGTGAGTTTTATCTCATGCGCTAGACTGATTTGAGGTCATTGCACAAAATCGGACGGACGTGATTAATCTGCGTTTGAATGTGTATTTGTGGTGGTGGTGGTGGGGGTGAGGGTGTATAAAGACGAGACGTAGGTTAATTCGATTTTAAGCGGAGCAGGAGTATTGACAGTGACTGGAAACATTCGTGTGTATGCCTGTAAAGGAGAGGTAAAAAATCAGAAGGTACCAGAAGCTGCGTTCGCAATCTATGCAGTTGTGGACGACATGCCTGCCATAGGACTGTTAGATAATTCGGATGAACCGTATGTGGTCACAAGGACTGTGTCAGACTCCCCATTGGCTAAATCCGACGTGGTCGCCTGCTGTGTAACTGATGTGTTACTCATGAACTCAGCCACACCAAATCGAACGGGTTCGTTTAGTTTCAAATTGAGTGCCACAGACGGAGACTGAGTCCGCGGTATTCGTCGATCACCCTCGTCGATCGAATTGCGAATAGGACACGCTAAGGAAGGACTTGTGGAAGAAGAGCGAACTTTGGGCGTCTCAGATCCCGGAGAATCACAAATTCGTTTGCAGGGTGGAGCATCTATAGATTCGGTGGCTGTGCTGGAGAAATTAGAATAGGTTAAGCTGTTCGACCCCGTTCGGTGTGAATTGATGTCTGTCCGTTGAGAACCTGTCTCTAGCGATCCTCTATCTCCAGAATATTCCGATTCCCCGACGTTCATTGACTTCAAAACGCGTGATTGAGGTGACAAATCCGTAGCATTTTCCGTCTTGTAGTAAGTAGTATCATTTTCGGTCATTGGGGTTGGTTCTGGACCGGGAACACGGCATGGGCCCGTCGGGGTGCAGGGGCTTTTCACAAAACCCGGACCGGGGCGAGCAGGTGGACCAATTGTGTGTGACCATGGTTCTGCAAAACCGAGCGAATTTGATGCGGATCGCATGGCGGCCGCTGAGCCGGACTGATGCGCAGGACGAGGGCTGAACAATTTGGAATCGAATGTATTCTCACAGGGATTAAAGGTTGGGTCGGGGACACTGGGAAGCTTCATTGATCTCCAAGCACGACCTATATCGTCCACTTTTTCCGTGTAGTTTATTGCACGTGAATCTGGGCCAACTGAAGGACAGGAGAGTTGAGTATTGGGTCGACCCAAAGGTTTGGTCGGGACATCTGACGGGAACGAGACACCTCGAGACAAATGGTAGGGGTCTCGTATTGTCGGCGGTGGAGCGTCATGACCAAACATACTCGGCGGATGTCGCGACTGCGGAGATAATGTGTTCGTCAAAGGTGGTCCGTTTCGATGTAGCGAGCCTGGAGGAAGGGGAAATCCATCTGAACTGGGAAACGAAAGTTTCGAACGCATAGGTAACGAGGAATGAGCTCCTAGGCTGGCAGGATGAGTCAGACCGGGATAGAGCGTGCCGGAAGAGAATGCAGGAAATCTGGACGAATACGGAGGGAATCCGATAGGTGGATGAAATGGGCGCACTCCGGTACCGGCACCCCCACCGGCATTAGTTGCACTATTGCTACCAGGAAACGAGTCCATGAAACCAGGAAAGCCGTGGCGAACGAGGTGATGAGCCATTCGCATACTGGGATCAAACACGGATTGAGAAGAAGCATGTGACGGGGCCAAAGGGAATTCCTCCACATCAGACTCCGATATGAATCGAATGCACTTTTTCTTTCGGCTAAACATAACGAAAAGTAGAAAGAGGGAGTAATTTTTAAGCAGAAATGCAAACTGTACAAATAACAGGTAGTAAAAATGGTGTGAAAAGTATGATTGCTAAAAGAGCAACTTCATTCAACTGAGATAATTTTAACAATCCGGATGAATTTACCGGGAAGCAAACATAAGTATAGAGATAACACAGGTATTAAAACTATCAACATTGACTGACGCTCACAAAATACACAAACAAAAAACCAACCGACACGTTTGGCAGCTTGGAGAGAAGTAAATTACAAATTACCACTACAGTCGATAAGTACAATACATGGAGAGAGAGAGAGAGAGAGAGAAAGAGAGAGTTGGTTAACAAATCTCGGAGAAGATGCAAAAAGACTGAGATTACTGCTACAAATCCCTATTCTCATGTCAGCCAAACAGAAAAGACAATGACTATTGCAACGAACACGCACAAAGAATCCAATTGCCACGTGTATATGAAGCGATTGCATTTAAGCACTTGGGTTTAAATCCAAAGGTTTCTACACGTACTCTATTTGACCGTTTAAAAATGAGACAATAACATCACAAAATACTTACAGAGTTAAACAAACTTCTCGAGGTTGTGCTACGTCATATCCCAACAAACACTTACCGACACGGTTTGCACCACATATTTTGATGTTCCAGGCCAAATCGAGCTCGACACTTTTTTAAACTTCCTCCAGTTAATTCGCTGGCTGCCATTGCGGCTGCAGCGGCCACAGCTGCCACCGTACCCGGAGATGAGGAGGACGCATTGGGTCCGGATCCGGGGCGACCAGCGCCTGTGTGCGGACCATAATCGAAGCGTCCGGAACCGAGAAGCTCGGCGATACCGGCTGGACCACCGTTCGACGGGTTCGAGAGTCGAGGACCAAACAAACGTGGTGGACCAAATGGAGGAACATGGGAACCTACACCCGGTACGGGATGACCGTAACCCAGTGATTTAGTGCAGGTTGAGTCTATATACGGATGTCGATAGTAGGATGGAAGCACATGCGGTGGTGGTTGTGGTGGACCTGGTTGAGGGGGAACTGTTCCGGGACCAGAAGCATGTGACGGGATACCTTCATGAAGAACTGAAGGGTTCATGTTCATAGAAGCAGCAGCCATAGCAGCCGCAGCAGCCGCAATTCTTGGTGGAAACAGTTCCGGGGGCTTTGAATATGTGGGTAAAACTCGCTCTCGCAAACCCGCCATTGAGGATCGTGCATAATCCATTGAATGCAGAGTGTATGGACCGTTCGATGTATTTGAATTGTTGGTCATTCCTTCAGTGGTCGTTTTGTTGCTTTGAATCGGGTCCGGAGAAACAGACGAGGGAACCGCAGTCAATGGAAACTCACGTCCAGACATCGTTCGCGACTTCCACAAGGAATTGGAAGGTGAAGAGACAATTGGTTCCGTAGACCACGATTCGGTTTGACCCGGAGATCTTGATCGACTGACGACGCTGAGACTATGACCACGAGGTTCCGGTTCAACGGATGCTGATCGACAGTACGGAGGACTCAATCCATCAGCACGCCTTTCCGATTTGGGATCATCCAGTTCTTTTGATGGGGAACCACATGATACACCAAGATACGACGGCTGTTGACTGTTTGGTGTGTGCGGGCGCTGGGACTCACTATCGTCTGTGAACTTATTCAACGAGGATGAAGTATAAAGACTGGAATTTGAGCTGGATTTCAATGGGGGCAACGAAGGCCGCCTACCCCGTGTTCGGCGATGAAGCTCTTTGGAAAGGTGAGTTGAGAACGGGGATACAGATCTCTCCAGTCGAGCACAGCCCGGTTCCGGTGTGGACTCACATGAACCTGGATCGGTTTCCATTAGCGCAGAACCCGGTTCTTTCAATCCACCAATCTCAGCTGTATCGGAATTGTTCAACATCCTGTCACTGTGAATCCTCGCGGTCAAGCCCAGACGCGAATATCTAGATGTGCGGGAATGCAAGGTGTGACGATGCAACAAATGCCGTCGACGTTTTCTTCGTCGCGCATGATAGGCGTAGTTGTCCCGCGCCGACCAGTTTGGATAGAGTTGCTGATGTAATTCCTTCTCACGACGTGCCATTTCATAGTATTTGGTTTGTTCCTCTCGTGTTAGTTCATGCCACTTTTTCCCCAACACCTGATTGATTGCAGCCGACTCCTTAAGTGTACACTCCTCCTGGACCCGTGCACGCATTTCTTTCATGAAGAGCATGAATGCATTCAAGGGCTTTTTGATGTGCATTCCTTTGGAGAACATACTTCCACCTCGCTTTCCTGAACCACGAACTGTTACTTCCTCGTCCGGTTTCATTTCACCCCGATCATCATCAGCAGCAGAAGAGGCAAAATTCAGATCGTCCATCCGCGATAGTGATTTCGGATTTCCACCTCGAGAACCACGGCCCCTGCAAATTAGACAAAACCAATCAATCATATGCGATTAAATGGAACCAAAGAATTGAATGTGGGAATGTGGCGAAAGTATTCAAAAGTGTATATTTCATACGTTAAGTCAATAGTCACACCGGTTAGTTTATATTTGCAGTTCATATAGGTGCCTGTTGATATAAGAGCACTGAGAAATAAAAACCTTATGAATAAACGAGATAGAGTCATGTACCAATCATGAGATGGGTATCATCTGACTGCAGCGAGGCTGATCATTTTGAGTGCGTCAGCAAATATGTATTGGAGCCATATGCCTCCAATATATAACTCAATACATCTTAATGCAGTATGCTTGTAAAAGAACAGTACGGAGTCCATCTTCACCGCGTAAGTATGCAGGTACATCAAAAACAACGTGATTATGCACGTAACCCCTGAAGGTAACTCACCCACCATACCATACACTTGTTAGGGCCTAACAGAAAAAAAAATGACCAGTTTAGTACTTCTGCATTCGCAGGAGTCACACTGTCCGGGACGGGAAACTCACTCGATGGGACACCGCATAACGTTGCACTAAACCGCACATCACATGACATCCTACTGCACAGACCGTATTCCACACACCACAACAAGTGAACGTGTGCGCGCAAACCTATTTATCATCATCATTATTCCAACTATTATTTTTATCAGCATTATCATCAGCAGCAGCAACAGCATGGTCGTCATCATGCCTCGTGCTCATCTGTTAAGTTTGCGTAACATACAATCCAATCTACTCCATCCTATCTACATCCCCAGTCCGATTTCCATTCTGTCACCTTGGCCAGCCTCACTTGCCCAAACCAACTTGTGGTCCTCCACCTCCAACAAAAAATGGGACCGACACCGGGTCTTTTGCGATAAGGTGGAGGGATCGGCAGTACTGCGAATGCATCCTAACTCAACAGACACTGGGATAGAGAGTGGGGAAGCGAGTGAAGTAGAACGAGGAAAGTGAATTCAGCTGATGCGTGCGTGTGCGGGATAGGTTTGTATGTGTTGTGTGTCATCAGACGGGAGCGTAAGTTAACAAGAACAATGTAGGTATTACCGACCGTGCGTTGTGGACTTCGGTGTTGGAGTTTGTTGTTGCAACGGATAGAGCACGCACGGGGTGAGGTAGCATGGAAAGTGATATGTGAGCAGTAGAATCATGATAATCATAATAATTATGATAACGTGTTTGCGGCTGCTATGTGACAAACTGTCCAGAATGATATGCTCATTCGTCAAACTCGATATGTGTATACTCCAACACATCCGATTGATACAGACGAGTAGGGCTTCATATGTATGTACCTGTATGTATGTGTGCGTGTGTGTTGGGGAACGCCCACGAGTCCTCCTCACCCAAACTGTGACGGTGAATCGCAACACAATACTTTCATTCTCATACTGACATACCCGCGAGTGGTCCCATATCGTGAGCAAGTCAATGGTCACAGTGATTAGCGCTGAATATCACCCGTTCACAAACGTGTGCTCATCCCAGGTGTTCTGGTCTAACCGATAGAGAAAAGTTTGATGAAGTTGCGGATCACTGTCAACCAACACTTAGTAGCTTATTGTCTTCACAGAATAGACTCGTACGTGATTATTATTAGAGAACAGATATAAGAACAGGCATAACTGTGGTGAATTCATACGTGCGAGAACAACGAAAATTTGGAAAGAGTAGGTGTAACCGATGTAAGTAAGATAGTATATTCAACAAAAGGAGAGAGAGTGCAAAATTGTGTGTGTGTGTGTGTGTGTGTGTGTGTGTGTGTGTGTGTGTGTGTGTGTGAAAAGACAGACACCCATGATGACATTGATCAATATCATATTTCCTCGTTAGGAATCGGATAAAAAACCTTGGGATATAAGAATAGAGAAACTTAAGAAATAACTGTTCCTCTTCAACCAGTTCTACTTTGAAAACGCTCAACCTTACCCGTTTGATAGAATGATGGAAGAAGAAAATAACGCCACATCCGCATCCGCACGCGTAAGAAATTGTTCAGTTGAATTCAACAAAATGTTCGATACACTTAAGGGTCTCCAATTCAAAGGCTTGGTTAAATATTGATTGTACGGCACCAGTTCGACTGAACATACTCGATGTTTCCACTATATGTACTACGAGGATGTACAAAGACTAATAATATTTGTACACTGATAATATCTCAAAATTGCGAAAGTCTACTGAGAAGACTGTGTCTACGATGCTGAAGCAGGGTATAGAAATAGAGCAGCAAATAAAATGACTGAGGCTGTTTGTTTTATGCTTCATATAAGACTAAGTACATATTATTTATGATAAGTAATGTTCACAGAGTTGAGTAATGCCTAGTGAGAGATCGAATTTAGTCTATTCTCATTGTGGTTAGTATGCTGCGGTATCTCCCAAAACCCAAAATGGTATTCTGAGAGGCCCAAGTCGAAATATCATTTCACTACTGGAGATGATATCAGTAGTTACAAATTACAGATAATCACCATGGTCTGTGAGGCAGCTTGATTTCAGTTCTGGTGCACGGGCGTACAAGCACATAGGTTATCTTCATTTTATGCACATGCGTATGCACCTATGCCCTGACTCCAACACAAATAGTGGCGAGATTTTCTAGGGTTAGAATCGAAGGGACTTAGATAACGCAACCATTAATGGACTGAGCTAAGCGTTAGAGAGCGATATACAGGTTCCCTTGGGACCGAGGACTAAAACACGACAGCCCATTTCAAAAACGAGTGTTGCGGTTAGCATACAAGCACACACACAGGTAGGTACCCACAAATTAACCACCGAAATGCCCTATGAGAAATCATGTGATTCTAATGGGGTTGGTCAGACGCGAGGACGATAACTCAGCCTCCGATACAAGTAGCCCGATTGGTCGTGTAACTAGGCTATCAAACAGGCCAGAAGCGGGGGCACGACTTTGATTGAGTGAATCATGAAATAGGGTGAATAGGCCTAGGTTGAAAGAGTTACAATAATGTTTAGCTCGGAACGGATATGATGGAGGAGTTCATATGATCGCAGTGCTAGTTGAGGAAATATCGTCATAGCAAAGATGCCATCACACATCGACCATGTGAAAGCAACCTCAAAACGTACATAGGGAGAGAGAGAGAGCTTGTATGTTTGAGCACCAAAGCCGGATTATGCTCGTGTGAAATAAGAACAGTAATATCATGTAATGCGCAAGGTTATGCTGGATAACGGTGCCAACTGATGCTGGCCGTAAAGAATGTGTCGATTTCAGTTAACACTGCTGAGAGTGGAGAAAGCGATCGAGCTCGAAAACGATCAGAAAAACTTTTTGGATCTAAAAGTGATGGCGTGAAAGAATTTAGTGTAGAACAATTCCTAATGGACCGAAGCAAATCCAAATTTTGTAGACATACGGAAATCACCAATTTGAGAAAATTCATGTACACAAGTGATAAGAAGATTAGTAAAAAAAAAGACGCTGTATCACCGGATGTGAGAACGTTCAAAATCACTGCTCCCTGATTTAGTGTTAAGATCCAACTTCAATCATTAAGAGCCTCTAGTTGTCATTTAAAACTAAACCTTTTTCAATTTAAGATGTCCGAATATCAATTTAGGATATCATGTTGCTTTTTGGATAGTACCTTGCACAGTGAAGAATGAAAACGTAACCTCAGTCATGTCGTGGTGACGCTATATGGCGACTGATATCATATGCTACAGAAAAGCGGCAAGCACCAGGCTCCTTGTTGTGACCGAACTATCCGACCGATCGATAAATGAACCCGATCGGTTGTGATTTTCGGGCCGGTATAGGGGGAGGATACGTTCTGAATCCAATGCTGCTTAAGTGTTGGTAGAGAATCAGTTGTGGAGCGGTACGCCATGAGGGAAATTCGGAATAGAAAACATTCAAGCTATGGTGACACTGGGCCTGCGTTTGACTCGTCTAAGATACACGCAATATTTTTCGGAGCGGGTTCGGTAAACGGATAAGCATGATGAAACTTTGAATTTGTCTTAAGTATGGACTACTATATCCACTAACATAGACCAAAGCAAAACTCTTCTTGGTATTTTCCTAACTGGTTTTTTCCGCGTTGAACGATCTTGCTAAGTACGTCGGAGAGAAAAAATGTTATTGAAAAATGCATATTTATCTGATACCGTTCAATATATTTTCCATCCTGATGCTTGCATAGCAAAACATGGCAAAGATAGTTTTCTACCACCTTCAGAATAGTAGGAGTTGAAATACTTTCGAACTGCACGACATTATTCTATTTTAGCTCCTCAATCGTTCTCCGCTTTCGGGAATAAACGGTTCGCTTTTGATATGCCTACAGAAAGAAATTCAAGAGAGACAGATCAGGTGATCTTAGAGGTGATTCCTTTGGTCTTCCTCGGGTAATCCGTCTACAGTTACCTTTCGGTTAGAGGATATTTCTGACCACCACAGCAGTGTGTGGCCGTGTACCGTCATGTTGCAAACAAAGTGTGTTGCCAACTTCAGTTGCGTGTTACAAGATAAGCGGCCGAATATAACAGGCAATTTTAATCACTTCTTATTCATCCTTGGTATGTCTGTACTCCGTCAGATGGATGACTGAAGCTTTTGGTGCGGGTGGTTAATGCGACGCACCCCTAAGGAACCTGGTCAGAGCTGTCGCGACTAACAACGGGAAAGCAGCTCGTTCACCCTAGTAGGTAACATTACAAACGTCGGTTTTTCCGCACTTGTTTGGTCAATGTAAACATAATCCGCATCATAATTACGAAACAAAAGCAAAGAAGGAAGAGTAAAAATGTTTATTATGATAAATTTTTCAGCTAGATGACTTTCGGGTACAAATATGTGACGTCTCACAAGATTTTTGCAACATACTGCTGTCACGATTACCCCCGCTCCACGGCAGACTTCTTCCAGGCGTCGCATGCACCATCCGCCCATTGACATCAAACCAGCGGGGTCACCCGTAAATAATACGCTATACT